GTTCACAGTGGAACATAGGAATAGCATTACAATTGAAAAGTCATAATGCTATTATATATATGGTGTAAAGGAATATGTATATTCTGTGTAAAAGTTGATTTCCAATTCTGGATAACTTCGATACTTTGTAACAAATATTCCGCATATATATGAATATAAATTCACTAAAATGACGCATTTTCTGGTCGGGATTTTTATCTTGATGATGACCAGTTAGATCAAGGCCTTCAATCAAATGTAAATACTTAGCTTTTGACGTGACATTATAAATCATGTTCTTAGTTCATACATCAGTGAAGCAGTTCAATAAGGCACCAAAAAAGGTTGGATTCAACGAAGAAAAATTTCAATCTATTCAAAGAACCAACACCAAAATTCCGGACTACTGCTGCCATAATTAAAATAGCCCAGGTTTTCATAAACAATTAAATAGGTAAGATGCTCCAGAAACATTGCCCCAGAGATCAGAGAATAAACCAGCTGCCACTTGAGGGAGAAATTGGGAAAGGACGCTGAGTGGATCGAACGTATTTTACCGAAACAACTGAAGTGTATCACAAGGCAAGCCCGAATTTGTAATTCTCAACACAAAAAAGAATGTGACGAACCAAAAACACAGCGAATCGATTAAAGACGTCAAGACCATGAATATAACTTGGGAACAACCATTAGGGACAGTTCAGGAGAGATTTGATTAATGATCTCTGGTGGCCGGTCTGTGTTCTTAGAGGGGTAATAGGCTTAAGTAATTAAGAAACCAGAAGCTGATCAATTTAATTGATACCTTTAAGAAAATGAACGAAAATAAAGATGTGAGCAAACGTTTAGTCAATGGAGGATTTCGTAAAGATCAGGTTGATTTGCAATTGATAATATTAACAGACTCAGTTGAGTACCATTGGAAAACATGGATTATCAAGCGTCAATGTCATCCTAATCTGGGGGCCCTAGCAACATTGACTCATGACTCTACTAGGAATAGGGATCAAACATTTCAGGTCGTTCAGTGAACGCCTAATTATTTTACCACTGGAATGGGGGCCTAATAATTAACATTTCCACATTCAGGCAACCTGTCAAATAATTTGTGGTAACACACGATATGATTCTACCTGTGAGTAAATTAAGTTTACTAAAAATAAGGATAATAATAAAATAAGGATTTTCAAGATTAGTTCTTAATTGAAGTTACTTTTGATTACGGATTGGTATTATTTAAAAAATTAGTAGAAAATTGGCAGCACTAGATATTTGCATTATAGTAGTATGGGACTCTTCACAAACGGACAACTATGACTCTGTCAGAAATCTAACCGATGAACTTAAGATTAATGGTGAACAAATAATTTTCTATGTCTAGTAACAATAGCCATAGCTGTTAATTTCGAAATGTGGTCCATCAATTTTGATAAATATCAATAAAATGGAGTTTTTAAAGGTCGAAAAATATTATAAGTTTCATCCAAGATGTACAGTTAGTTACAGTTTCAAACAATGTGAAAATTAGCTACCTCAAATTTTATGAAAAAGTCCAAATGTTTTTCAGTGTAAGTGATAATATTTATTTTCGGATAGAAGTTAAAATAACTCTAGAAATTAGGAGTCCCATTTAAGCTTACATTTTATATTCCAATAAAAATTTCGTACAAAATCTGGAATAAGTTTTTATTAAAAAATCTTGAACTATCAACTTTCGATACCAAACTTGTTTACTAAAACATAAAGAAGTTCGTATGAAATCTGTGATACTTTTATTTAGTAATTCTTTCCATATCTATCAAATAACATGTTCTCGTTAAACAGTTGAAAGAAATTCTAGACTGTACTTTGATGTTTTTTAGTGTGGAAAAGTTTAACAAATAATAAAATATTTTTCGCCTTGATATTAAAACCTAATTTCACTAAATTTCAGTAGTATATACATATATATAATGTTATTTTATGACTTTATAAAAGCCAGGATTATCAACCTAACCAACTACCAAGTTCAGAAAATTAACCATAGAATTAAATTGAATTTTGGCTACCAGTGGAATCTAGGATGCGCATCATCAGCCTTAAGCATCTGTGTTTCTATGTCAGTGATCACATAGGTACTCAAGGCTGTGTGTTATGTCGAAAGAAAAATAGATTGCTCAAGTTGTGTTGTACTCATGTGATAGGGTCATGATGAGAGGAAAGCAATAATGTTACCATTCTCTCTCTTGTCGGAATATCTATTGATTTAGCTGTTTATTCTTTGGGACTGCTAATCTAAGTACTATTTAGCAAACCGACCACTGAACAACAACTAAGAGCTTAACGCTTATGGATTCTCGATCTCGTTATAACCTAATGTTCACACATAAAAGGAAAATAGAAAACAGATCAGTTCCTTATTGTAGTCAGTTCATTTATGACTTTACACTCTTAAAATAATATAACTGAAATGTCTGATCGTACAGCAACACGATTAAATAAATTAAAATTTGTTTATAACTTGGTCATAAGAGACACAAGATCAGAGTAATTGGGGAATAATGATTGATGATAATTCTGGAATTATAAGACATCTTAATTAGATCAAACAGAAACTTAGAAATAGGTTAATATAAAAACAAATAAAATAGTTCAAGCATCTTCCAATGGTATTATGAAAAAATATATAGAACTATTCGTATGATGTTTTAAAAAGTTATACTTCTATACTATTAGCCCCATTATATTACTTCGTTTTTTGCTTCAAACGATATCTTGTTATCTGTCAAGCTACTTAGCTCATATAGCAACTTGTTCGATGGACATGAATATGTAGGCATATCTAATTTTTTGTATTATTTTTCGTTGTTGATATTTAAGGACATCATTTGCTCAGTATTTTGCTTATTGGTAATATCAAGGTAATCCATCCGCGATGTTGAAATACCAAAATATACTAATCAAATCTAGACCCTAATATCAACCATGTACAAAATCAAATCCGTATACATATCATACGAGGTTAATTTGTTTTTCTGAGACTGTAACGACTTGCGATATGATTTGGGGCTAAGGTCTACAAGTGAAATATACGTTTTAGAGATGAACTGGGCGCATGTTTATTTTACTGAGATATATTAATTATAAAATGAAGTTTATGCACAAATGTCCCGTTAAAAGTATGCCTACTTATAAGTAGCTAAACCAATATCAAAAATTATCAGCGTTGACGACTGGATTATGATACGGTTTGGTTATAACATGTAGGATATATATATATATATATTAGTAAACCAAACTTCCAACCGAATAAGAAGTTTCACTTTATACCTTTTAAATTTAATCTGATATTCCGGCAAAAGAATTCTACTTTAAAAAGTCAGGTTTATATATATATATATATATATATATATATATATATATATATATATATATATATATATATGTCTTACTACATAGGACATCATTTGCTCAACTAGTGAGCGAATTCCGGAAGTTCAACATTGAGGACAATCGGATTACAATAATAATATAATTATAATTTAATATTATTTCATTTTGACTTTTAAGGAGTGAATGTGGTTTTTTACTATGGAAATAAGCTTTATGAATAGATATATACTATATATCTATATAGATATATCAAAATATTCTTCTTGTTTTTTATCAGAATAAAACTGCATCAAAAAACGTACAGATGCAAACGGACTTCCTAAAGATGGCCACATTCTTCTAAATTAACAAAAAAGTCTTTCGAAACCCAAGGTCTATAATTAAAAAGTAATCATTTGGGAAATTAGAGGTTATATGGTGTCCTGTAATGTAGTTGCCTTTTGATTTACACTCCAATCTACGTAATAAAATTTCCGTCCATAACTCACTGATTACAAGATCTGTAAGTGATGGCCAGCGTACATCCTGCAATAGTAATAATAGTTTTATATTTTGCTATTGTCCTTTTTCATAACTGATTGTACAATTAATGTTTGCTTCAAAAATATTTAAAACATGTGAAGGTAACTTATTTTCGAACTATAATGGAACTATCGGTCATTGTTTTTATAGCATTATCTTGCGGCTTTAAGACATGTTCAAAACAATTTACAACGGATACTCAAAAATACATAATCAACTTGTATTTATAGTTGGTTTTGCAAGCATTATTAGTTTCTGGAAATCTGCTTTGATAACAGTATGACGGCTGATTTTCGAAGTGGATGATTGTAATCTTGGCTGTATTGTTTCAAACTTCACCATTTTGTTTCACAAGACAACGGCTATGTATTCTCAGTTCAACAGTTTTATGTTTAGTGTAAACATCTCTAACTTAAAAAAGTCTTCAAAGTGGGAGGAACTGATTTTATTCTTTAGGTTTAATCTCCTGTTTTATAATATCTGTAAGCACAACAAATTATCGTGTGGCCAACTGTAACTTATAATTTGCATGGTTTCCTTAACAATAGGTTAATTCAGTTTTGTGGACACATCCTTGTGCGCGCGAACCATTTTTCATTCCACTTGTCTTTCTATCACTGCTTAATATTATATAAGTCTTATAGGGTTTCAATGTAGAACAAGTACATTGTAAATTACAAATCACTAGCTCACGCCAAAATAATATTCTCTGAAAAAAGTAGGGTCATAAAATTAGGATTTTGAGCCCTAGCATTGTAACCAGCAGGTGAACTAGTCCTTGGAACTTTTCGGCTGTTTAATGACAAACACTCATGTGAAAGTATCTATCAATGCTTAGTCAAATATGTCAATATGAGTACCACAAATGTAGCGAGAATTCGTAGTGCAAAACAAGAGTGAAAATTACTTAGTAGTTTTATATTATAACACTTATAGATTGTCTTTAGGTTATGAACTTTTATTATCTGCTCAATACTAAAGTAGGCCATATTCAGTGTAATAAGTGAGTAAAGTAACTTTTAGAAGAGGAGCTAAACCACCTATGTAGTAAACACTAAATTTTACATATTACTTAGTAATAATATTTAAAGAAGCAAGGTAATTATAATAAAACAAAGCAAACATACCTTCAAAAAATAACGACAAATCTGAAGTCCTGTGAGAATGTTTAGACATGATTGCCGCAATCCTACGAATTGCCAGATAGCAATCAAAAAACATAAACATGACTGAGACCAGAGCAAGTGATTAATGGATTTTAAAAACTTTGAACACACTAGGATAAAATCACATGTAAAGAACTGAAAGCAGTTACAGTAAATCAACATGAAAGTCTATTCTAGGATTTTGAGAAAACGTAAAGGCTTTTTTATAGGACTTTAGGAGGAATTGATTTCGAATGGTGGTGAGCATTCATGTTCGATGGAAAAAATTCCCAACAATTCAACCAGCTTCAGTGATCTAACAGATTCTGAGTCCTTCATTCAATGTTTATGTTGGACTCAATGTGCTTCCGGGAATGTTCATGTAGCGGTAAATAAATCCCCAAAATAAATAGCTCTGTAAGTTTTCGACATCGGATGCTGACCAGATTAGTTTTAGTGGACTCATCTAGCTGAAGGCGCTAGGTCATGCGTCCGCACCAGATCACGTGTGGAAACGCCGTGCTCAACATCTACTACAGTCGCTAGCCAGACTAGATCAGACAATTCCGATATATTGGCAATCGTCAAATACAACTTCTGATCTCCTCGATTCTGTCTTTTGATTTCTCTTGGTGGGTACGAGTTATAATAGGTGTTACTGGTAAAAGCGTTGTCAAACACTGAATACCTGTGCCATCTTCACCCATAAGCATTTACAACACTAGCAGGTTATCTTGTATTCTCCAAGTAATAAAGATCTAGTGTTTTCAAGTCCTCGTTTGAATCGAACCCTAATCCACATTCTGATTTTTTGGCTCATCATTAAGTACGAACCAGCATTTTCACTCGTATGGGGGGCGAAAGCACTATGAAAGGGATTGAATGTATCTACCTATATCAGTGTGCCAAAATATCTGTGGATCACTTCGATCAACACATCCAATTTCATATAAAGATAATATTCGGAATAACAGAATTGTGAAGACTGTAACAAAGAAGAAACAGCAGTTATAAAGATCTACACAAACTGACGTACATCTCCAGACACTAGATCATTGTCTTGTACTATCGTCTGAAATATGTACGTCTGCTAGTTTAGTTTTTACGTGGCATTTCGAAACAAAACGTTCTTATGAATTTGTGTTTGCTTACTCAAAGACAGCCAGTGACTTAGTTGTCTCATGTACGATCGATATGTAGGGAATACGAAAGATTTCAACCCAGTGCCACTGATTAAAAATAAAGCTGATGCTTCCGTATATACTCAGATTTATTAGGGAAAAATGCAATCTACAACGACCGACAAATATATTGTATGCATTATTTTCGTATTATTAACAAAATAGGAATGATCATGAGGCAGAATTAGACAAACCAATCATATATCTCTAACTATTCATTATTTGAAGCTCTTCTTGTTCACTCGCCTCCACTCTGCCCCATGCTAAATGTGATACAAATTTTCCAAACTGTTCTCTGAGTCGTTCCCCATCTTTTGGTATGTTAGAAAACAAGTGGAGTATTTTATGCAGGTCATCTGCTATAAGTAACAGGTAATTTTGCATGTATTCGTCTTACGCAGAGAAACCGGGTCACGAATTGATGTGTCTGGTTTTTTGTGACAAATGATGCACATCTGCTGTTCGCTCAGGCCCAAACTAGGCGGCACTGCTCGATACCTACAAAAAGTGGCAGTAAGGAAAACTCACCAATTTTGTAGATCGTTTACGTGATTAAGGTTATCAGGGTTATATACAAAAACAACTCCATGACACCCTTTGAAAATAGCCGGCCAGCAAGTTTCATACCTACGAGGACCATCACAAATATAAATAGTGATTTACTTTTTATCTCCACTGGCATCCCATAGCTCAACTTCAACTTTACTGGTTTTTCCTTTTATCTTGACTTTTTGTTCATATTCTAATATTCTACATTGTAAAGATGGGTTATTATGAGTAGTTAGCCAACTATTCAACAGGTGGGGAATGGACATACCTGACACCACTGGTTGGATGATATCCACCAGTAACCTGATCTACAGTTTCTGAAAGATAATTGCAGATATATGATTTGCCACACTGAAATATCGAAAATCAGAAAATTCATTATAAATGATAACCTCGTTTGGACCGACCACAACCAGCTTGAGGTGATTCATGATTATTAAAACATAATTTTCAACTATATTAACAAATATTCGTCGTGATCCAAAGTTGAAATTTTTTCAAAAAATTACATGTAAGTCACTGCAAAGTTCTATTTATTATTGTCATGACAACGACCTAAGCCGCTTTGCGACAATTTGAATGCATGAAAGTGAAGTATTTTTGAAATGTCTTATGAGGACAATTCTAAAAACTTCACAGAAGAACTACCTACGAAATCAAATGATGGTCTGATAATTTTAAATATACAATGTTTACAGACGAATCAGATGATGGATTCCTTATCGCCAGGCCAAATTGTATTCACGAAACTCCCATTGCTTCAGATGGGATAGAGAGCAATAAAACTGATCACAACAAGGATATTAAAGACGATTCGTCACCAGGAGGCTTTTTTTCAGCGATTGATGCGGTAGAAAAGCTAGGATATGAAGGAAAGTTGAGCAGTGTTCAAATAGCTCAAATGAAGCATCGTTTCTTCAAACTTAGTGGCCTTCTTTCTAAGTACGTGCATTCATTGAAGTTTCTAGGTTGCGTAAAGCGCACGGCTGTTGGCCTTCGCTATAGACAATTGATGTATGACCAGGTTGGCACATGTTATCAACTTCGTGTCTAAAATCAAAACCCACTAAAAATTGTTTGCTCGGAGCAATAAGGCTTTCAATAAAGGTTTGTAGTAGGTTTCAAGAGTGCCATCAAATACAACTTACCACAGCCATCAACCGCCTTCTTGTCTTTGACCTACTGAGAGATATACCCTGGTAACTGGCACGTAGTCTTCCTGTAGTGGTGATCATAGTCAATCGCGACTCGACACCAACGAAAATATAATTTTAAATGATATGCATTTATCAGCTACCTACATAAATCTTAGTGAACCGAGCTGCTCCCTACAATCTACCACTGATTGATTTTTTATAGTTAAAGTGGGGTATTCAAGATTTAAATACTTCACTAATTTTTATTCAGTCGTTACTTCTGTACCTGTTATTGCAGGACAATCTAGTTCAGTTTTGAATATATGAAATAACAGCGCAAGATTTCTGTTCAGTCAATTGTCAGCAGACAAGTAATTTGTTCCGAGCCTATAAACTTATGCGTCATTTGTTTCTGGACAACAGGTAGCTCAGTGTTACTCACTACATGTGTATCTTCACTTTGGTGATTAATATGCACAGTAATACGTTGACATACATTCAAATTTTAAACCATCTAGATAATTTCTTCAGGTTATTTTGTAGCTATAAACTTCTACATTCGTTTTTTATTGCTCTCTGTATCTTGATAATATTGGTTAATAACAAAACCGGTGGTGATAAGAAACTAATAAGGTTATGTACATACAGAAGAAACAACACTTTCAACGCGCAGTTTTCCAGCTAGACAACTTAGAGTTAATGCGTAAGCTTTTATGATGCACAATTAGGAAATCATTTATTCATACTTATAAGTAAGTTGCCCCCAATCCCAACGTCGCCTAATTAAGGTAACACCCCACTGTATGGAGCTTGATTGAAGGCTTTAATAAAGTCAACGAAGACCATATCTACATGTGGCTTTTGATTTTTAAGAGCACATCAACTTTCATGTCCCTTCAATACGTTATTGAGACATGAATAATCCGTTTTAAAGCCATTTTGTTTTTCAGGAAGAAATGAGGTTTTTGTCAACAAACTTAAAGACCTCCTTCCAAATAGCATTTTATGGAATAATAACAACCACGCTGGTTAAGTTTCCAGGTCAATAATAACCAGGTTTTTGTCTCATGCTTGTTTTGAAAACAGAACTTACTCTGATGTCGTTCCAGCCCTTTAGTAATCTACCTTGGGGTACTGATAAACTAAAATACATATTTAAAGAATTCGGTATAAAATATTCTAGCTCCTTTCGGAATCTAAGATGTGTTCACGGAGTCCCATAAATTTACCCTATTCAAACTTGTTTAACAGACCAAAGGCACCTAGTTCTTTAATGGCAACAATGTTCAGAGTGTTTACTCTTTATGAGTCGAATGGGGGGCGACGCTACGGTATACATATTGCTAAAGTAATTTGAGAACACCTAAGCTTTGCCATAATGGTCTTCTACTAGTGATGCATTACTACTGTCCCCCTTCATAATGCTGAAGTACTGTCTCTTCTCTTAGTTCTCTGATTTATGCACGAATATAAGCCATTAGTTTGTTCTATAAACTCCTTCGCCAGCTTTGCCCCATACAACCTTCTGGACATTCACTGGGACAAGACATAGATAGTTTTGGCTCTCTGATATTGAGAACGTTTTTTATCGGTGCTCTGTAATCCAAATCTATCCCAAATTCATCAACTTTCGCGGAAAGGGATAAGAATTTCCTCACTAAACTATGATGAGGAATTTTTGGATTCTTTAGTGAAGTCTAAAAAATGGGCGTTGCTGTAACTTTTATAAACTGATTTTTGAGTACCTATCATGCATTTTCAATTGGCGATTCTGCTAGTTTTTATAAGAATTCTGAAAAAGCCTTTGATATAATTGAGTTACAAATATGCAGTTTTCTTTTTTTGTTCAACGGAAACGAACTTGTTGATAACCATAAGTTTGTTGGGTTGGCGCAAACAATAATCTGAATCTTTAAATGATAACTGAATGTTTTGTATTTGCGTTAGCCACCGTATATGTTTATCCTTCTAAATATGAGGTTACTTTCCAGGTAAACATGTACTTATACTTATCTTTGTATAATTTTTCGGCCAACTAACTTGATGTTTATGCCGTTTTATCTGTTCACAAAATATTTTATTTCACACTCTCCCAGATTACGTCTAGGTTTACTGATTTGCGTTGATACTTGGAAAAAACATTTTTTCAGAGCTGACTAATTGCTTTGTTCCGATTTAGGTCTGCTGATAAGTACCCATCGCTGATTCAGTTAAAGAACCAACTACTGAGTGTCTTTATTCTTTATAGGATTCAAAGTTTCTTTTTAACTATCATTTATGTCTATGTTAGCTTATATAATTTTTTGTATATTTTCTTCTCAAATAATGAAACAAACAGAATAAGAGATAACGAATTCAATTTGCTACAGTTATCTAAAAAAATGTCCATTCAACTGGATAGTTTAAACGAATCATTATCAAAAGCTGACAATTATCCTGAAGGTTATAATACAAAAGCAGATAAACTGCGTGAACAACTCTTGAATGCAAATAATCGTCTATTACAAATTGAAGAAAGAAATGATGAATTAAGTTATACCATAGAAAGCTTGAAAGACGAAAAACGTATGCTACAAAATGAATATAATCGTATGCCTAAAGAAGAGGTAATTGAATGATTTCATTTGAGATGTGGTAAATTTTGATCATAGGATATATACTAACAAGTGGATGATAACTCAGAAAACACATGTTCATCAGGAGTTAATTATACTCAATGTAATGATTAATTACAATCGTTAGTAAAACGTTAAAACAATCCAATCAACTGTTAACATTAAGATACATTTACGATATGATGAAAGTACAGTCTACAGTTTACTAGTGAAGAGTAATTAAACACTATTTACTGTGATCGTATTAAAAACGTGAATAGGTCCGTTCGTTCACTTAATCTACAGTTTGAATTAAAAAATTGTTGATAAGTCAGGTAATTGAAGCAGATATTACATATTGAGTTTGGCTCATAACATGATAGTCACGTTAATGTCTCAGCATTATAGAGTAGAGTACAAGATAAATAAATAGAGATTTTCATTAGACACATGGTAGTCTTTTTTACCTCACACTAATATTTTGCACTTGAGTCAAGCCTTCCGTCATTTAGTTAATAAAAGATGATGGATGTAAGAGAGCTGTAACATATAATCAGTTTGTCATGATATTATCATTTTAGCTGTCAGTATAGTGTGTGAAACTTTAGGTGACTTATATATGTACAGTAGAATTGTTGTACCAATATTCCGTTTTCTTTGGTTGATGCAAAGCTTCTCTTCATCAAAAATGTTACTTCCGTTCTATGACATGTAGGGCTAAGTGAAGGGAAAATGGAAATTGTTAATTACTCACTGTTTATATCATTTTGAATTCTAGGGAAAATATGGGTTGTACACTATCCACTTTATTTTTCGTATATTTTGTATTTTGTAAGAAATAACATAGTTAAGTGTCAAATGACTCTATTTGGTTTTCAGTAAGAAAATTCGTAAATAGTATGCAATCAACTTTCATAAAAATATAGCAGAACAATTTAAACAAAGAAACGTTTATAAAACTAATTGTTCACTGAAATCCAACCAAATCCCATATAAGTAAATAGAGAACCCGTGAAACAACATAACTCATAAAGCTATTCAATGTACATTTTGTTCTTAACCAATAGTATTCGGTGTTTTATAAATAAAAGCCATGATTAAAAAGACTAAAACCTAAAAATATTTCTTTGCTTGAATGATTTACTAAAATCTTACGAACAAGTTAGTGCAATTCCACCAAATCCATTGTACCTTAGCTTATTAAAAACTCAAACTATCCTTTTTGATTACTGCATTGTAGAGGCAGTTGTATCTCATTGTGATCGTAAACTGATCAGTGTCAGACCGCCCCTGAAAAAACTAAAAGCACCAGGCGGTCGTTTCGTTTTAGTGTGAAACTCCACAACATTACGCATCCATATTCTATGATCTTTATCAATAAATTTTCAATTTGACTAAGCTTTTGAATAATGTGTTGTCAGCTATCTGTGTTTATTTATTTTTAATAATTTTGTCGAAAACAGGATGTTACTAACCTGCGAAAACAATTAGAAAAATCTGTTAGTGAAGTGAAAAGCGAAATGAATAAACGATCTGGAGAAACTCGACAATTAACACAAACATTGCAAGATACAAAGGAGATGTTAGGACAAATAAATAAATTGAAGAATGATGCCGAAGAACAATGTCAAAATTTGGTGGTTAGGATTGCATCATTACATTTTCTTTCGTCTATAAAAAACTACCAAACCTTATGATGAA